TTTTATTAGCATGTAGAAAATTTAGATGATAAACTTTAAATTTAGAAGATAAACTTAGATTTAACGTTCGAAGAATTTTTATCCCTCTGCTAGCAGTGTTAGACTTTAAAGACACAATCAATTTTTTTATTGTAAATTCTGGCAAATAAATTTAAATGTATAAAAAGTAAAAATACTAAATTATAAATATTAATCAGGCTCTCAAAATTAAAAAATACAATAAAATATATGGACAATAAGAACATATACACAACGCGGAAATCGTTGCGCAAATTTCTATATAATTAACAAATAATGTCTACATAGGATATAAATGTATAATAATTGTAATCTGTACCATCTTATTTGAACGTTTCGGTTTTGACAAAAATCTCGTAATAATGTTGGAATTCAAACTCTATGTGAGGATGAACATTTTCCTATTTTATTTCCCTATTTATTGGGAATAATCGTAATTTGACACCTATGAATTTGCTGATGATGGATTTGAAGAAAAATCGAAACGTTCAAATAAGATGGTACAAATAATTATTATACATTTATCCTATGTAGACATTATTTGTTAATTATATAGAAATTTGCACACCAATTTCCGCGTTGTGTATATGCTCTTATTGTCCATGTATTTTATTATATTTTGTATAAAAAGTAAATAAAATACAATCCAATTACTATACTAGTAAAACTTTGTTGTTAAAGTTTCTACTACAAGTATGAAAGAATTTTTTATTTTATAGAGTAGTGTAATTCATCGTCGACGAGCTACGATACGCTAAAGTTGAGCAATGGCAATGTCCAAATTATCTCTTCTTTTTTTATACTTTCAATGTTCAAGAAAAGAGATAATATATCTCATGATTTAAGAGTGACGATAAATGAATTTTCTACCAAGCAACGATACCTGTAGATCGATTGTCCGTCAATGTGTTAATCACCTCTTCGTGTATATCTATTTTCACTTCAGTACCTTCGTTACGTAAAGCTGAAGGTGAGTGATCGTTCGTTATCATGTCACTTGAGAACATTCCGACGAGGCGAAAAATTGACGCCACCGAAGGGAGAGGATCTCGCTGTCCTTACGACGACATTATGCACGTTTAAAACGTGCGTATACACGTCGCCATCGCGTCGGTTGCGGAGGAAGAAATCTGAGGGAAAGGGCGAGCGATCGCAAAGAGGCAAACAGCAGGAGAGTTTCAGGTGGCCATTTAAGGCTCGGACATTTCGTTCTGTCACCGTGTTCCGTGTTCACCGTCGTGCGACGTCGCAAGGAGGCCACCTACACGCCAGTGAGGTCGTCTCTTTACCCTCGCGACTGCATTGTCTTATAAACGGCCACCGTTTCTCATGATAAGCAGAGTAAAACGAAACTAGACGTGCTCTTTTTCTCGTGAAGCGCGCACCTTCACCACCGAGTTATAATCCTTTCGCTTTCTACTGCGACTCCTCGAATCCTGTTTTTAAGAGAGACAGATCCTTTGATTACTTTATTGAAGATTGTGAAAAGTTTTTTTAATTATCTGATCGTAATTATCGTCGACATAAATCAATCACTGATCACATTTATGTTCACGCGTGTTTGAAAAATTTTTTTTTATTTTGAAATATCATTTTACTACTTACTGTTGTTTTAAATTACACTAAAATATTTATTTTTTTTTTTTATATAGTTTAATATTGGAAAACGTTTTTAACGAAATTATATTTTAAAGGTATGATTATAGAATGATTACAATTTATCTCATTATTGTTACTAATATTTATTACCAACATTATCATTCATTTCTCTACAATCTCCATTAACTCTCTCGTATGTCTAGAGTTACAGAAAATAGTAATACGATTTTATTGTCTGTACACAAAACTTCGACTATAATCCGATAATTCCCTCGGCAACGTTCACCGCGATTGAAATATCGCATGTCGCAAGGGAAAGTGCGTCACCGTGTAAAAATGGAATCTCGTGTTACACGATTTCGACCACGTTGCTCTTCTTTCTCTACTCGCATTAACGCGTGTCTCTCTCTCTCTTCCTGTGTGCGATTTGTAGAAATTGTATCTTACTTCCTTGCAGCAGCGGATCCTTTACGTGGGCGAGCGAGACCGTGCGTGGGTGCACCCTAAGAGAGTGTATAACGACATTGTCGCACGGTTAACATGCTTTGATCTGGGCGCTATTCGTATGAAGTCTTGATAAATGGATTTTTATGGAATCTACCGTTTCCGTTGTTCAGTAGTCTTCTTGTAAAACCAGACATTTATTTACGGAGTATTCCAGATTTTCTTCAATAATTTAATTTGTCCGTAAATTAATTTGTCTTCTCTAATTAATTTAGATTTGATTAATTCTACCTTTTAAAAATTGATTGCTTACTTTAGGCACATTTTTTTTGATTATTTCAATTGAATGTCTTAATATTCAAACTGAAAATTCTATTAAAGCGAACTCCGCTTGATATTTGAATTTAATTGAAAATTTATTAATTACATTTGACATATCTAAAATTATTAATTCTCATGTAATTATAATTTTAATATTGCTATATATTCAATAGACATTAGCATTCAGTTTGATAACGCAGACTACGTGATGTGATCTTAAAGTATAATCGTACAAAAGTAGCCAACGTTTTCTGTTCCATTTTCAATCTGTTGTCATCCATATTGCATGATCTTATCGTATTTGCGCATTCAGTTTCTTTCGCGATCATTCATGATGATCGTCGATTAATATGTATGCGAACCGTAATCTTCATTACTTCGACACCGCCGTTACTTGGATGCGTGGGAGTGCACCGTTACGATACGTAAAACATAAAACGCATGCACAGTCGAATACGCTGGTTTACAGGGTCGCGACCTCGACTATGAACGGACTCCAACTTTTTTCTACAGTTGTATATACACGGAACTTGCCGCAATAGTTGTAGATCTGACGATAAGGAAAAGATAAATTAATTAGCTGTTTATCTCTTCACATTATATGGTATCACCTAATAAGGTATCGCCTCGTAGGTTTTTCTGAAATCTGTCTTCTCGGCACTGAGCAAACGAAAGAACTCCCGTTTAAGTCAATGAGTGGGCGGACTTCCGTGATTTCACTTCGATTCAGTAAACTGTCGAATTCAATATCCGTTTCGTAAGTGCTAACTGTACAAGTACTTTCGATACGTTGCGTTGCATGGGAATGACGAGCGCAGAAGGGTCAACAGCATCGAGTATACGTCAACAATTTCGAGAGCCACTCGAGTTCTCACGTACCGATTCAACAGAAGTCTCATATCGCAACAGCTGCTGTGTGTGTGTGTGAAACTCTCAAAATGGTTTCTCTATCTTGCAGAGAGTGTGTTACTTTAATAATTCCTCCTGCCTGAGAGGATATATATTCCCGTTTCGGGAAACAAATGAAAATAAATGCGACGTGTAGACTCGCAGGCAATGCGAATGAAATTCTTGCTTTATTACACGGGCTGTGCCACATTCATTTTCCATTCCGTGAAGCGGCTCGTTCGTTATGTCTTACCTTTCGCGGATACGTTGAAACAGTACATCGATTTTTCCACGCCTCCGCTCGAGGACCGCCGGCGTTGTGTGAGTTATACATTTTGGAGAATGTTTAAGTCATGACGTTGGCGCTCCCATTGTCGCGTATCAGTTGCATACTGTTGCGGTGATAAATAATTTTTGTATGAACGCAAAAGAGCACGCTGTGCCGCGTACCGCGAGAGGTCTTTGTACCACCAACTACTGCGGTTCGCGTACATTTAACGCGCAAGACAGATGTTGCACGACAAAAGCACGGTTGCTTCCATATTACATATTGCAGTCATAAATAATACATACTGTACGCGATATCATGCAGATGTCCTTTGGTGGATGGTACTTATCACATTTACTACGTCGGTCCATCTTCATAATTTGACTCGGTCTTTACACTTTTGCCTTAAAAAATTGTTCACTTCTGTGTGAGTTTTAAATAAAAAATAACTTAAGATTACATAATCCTGTGATTAATTTTTTAATTAAAATTTTGTCAAAGCAAAAGCTAATTCGTGAAATTTGATGAAAAAAATCTTGCTATATCATTGAATTCGTACATGGAAAAAATGGTTTTTGCTGAGGCAAAACATTTAATTATGATACAGATCTGAAAATAATTTCGTTGGATCATCAAAATAATTATCTATTCTTAGTGTAAAAACATTCTAGCAACTGATTTGAGTGTTCTGCATAATTATTATACTGATAGTCAACAAAAATATTGTCAGATTTGTATTTAGCTAAATTTTTAGTTTCAACAAAACCATTTTTTCTGTATTTAATTTGATTCGTGTAAAAAATCTGTATCTTCAATCACCGTATATGTTAAGTATCATTAGAAATGGTGAAGATATTTCGTAACGGAGCTTATAATGCACTATAGATTTACGAGAAAGTTATCGACAGGTATCGTATTCGTGGTATCTCACGATATTTTATCATCCGATCAAGATGCCATCGATCTCTCTAGTCTCGCAGCATTTTTTCTTGTGCATCAAGAGGCGACTTCGGCACTTCGTACCGAGAAGTCTCTATCGTAAAGGCCACCGCAGTTTCTAGTACGATTTAACATGCGTGACGCGGCTGTGTGCAAACGCGTGCAGCAAATGTGCGGCTTGCATATATACGAGTGATTGATTTATCGCATCTCAGACTCGCGCACGAACCCTCCCTTCTCTTATCTGCGGCATTATCTTATAAATTAAAAAGAAAAAAGATTAGACTTTTTTTTCATAAGTGCGTCCATTTCTCAGTTGTGCACCCGAGGCACTGAAGATCACACGTACTATTTATCGCTTCTTTTGTTTTGCGAGATACTTCGTCTTCCACAAAGGAAAATGGTATAAGAACAATTGTGTGAATGCGAGCAAAAGTGTAGCTGGTGATAAATCAGACTTTAACATCTTCATGCTTTGCACGAGTAAAGAAATTCGCTAACGGTTACTTTTCTACTGTTTCAGAATGGCGAGAGACTTTTCATAGGAGCACCAGGCAGTTATTACTGGCAAGGTGAGATCCTTTACTAAATTTTCGTCTAATCTATTAAGATAACACCTGTATATCTTAGGACGTATGTGAGCCGGCCGAAAATCTGTCTTTTAAGTTAACGTAGACGTGTATTTATTATTTTTCTTTTTTTTAATCAAAATTATCTGATCCACGGGGTGATGCGACTGAACGAGAACGGAGGAGCGGATGTCGATTAGCGATTAGAGAGAAAGAGAGAGATTAGAGAGAAAAAGAGAAAGAAAGAAAGAGCGTGCGACTTCTAGATCTTACTAATAATTCAGAGGGGAATTTCCTTTAACAAATTGCAGGTCAAATATACTCGATCGCCGCCGCCATGAGGTTGAAGTTCGTGGCGACGATGTTAATCACCGAAGCCGAAGCATCAGGTATCGCGAACACTTGAAGGCGTTCCCCGTAATTAAAGTACTGTCCACCCTTACCCTGTCGCACCCCCCCCAACCCTCTCATTTCTAATAAGCTACCATTCTCTCGTATTGACGACTTCTTACTTGCCAAATTAACAACGTGTTGCTTGTCGGCTTTTTCCGAGAGTGCGAAAACTGAAGTGAAAGCCGGCAGTAATAATTTGCATTAATCGCAGGAAATCGTCCTCGGAGGCAGGTATCAAGTAACATGAGAGTATTTTCCACCCTCTTTGTACTTGCTTGGCAGTAACTCTAATCATTTATCCTTATGCTTAATGTATTACACTTGTTATTAATTATATAATCGAAATCAATAAATATAGTATAACTATGCTTATTATAATCCGAAAATATATAAATAGTTTTATTAATTTGTATATAATTTGGGTGATTTACAGTCGTATGATTGATATTTTATGTTATTTACTTACTTTATGTTATTAAGTTAAATAAAATTAAAACTTTTATATAAATTATATAAATTAAAAGCTGTTTTTATGTCTCATTTTTCTGATAAATTAAAAAATTAATTATAATTGTGACGATGTACACTATTGTTTCTTTTTAATTACTGCCAAATAAGTGGTGGGTGATCATTTCTAACAGGTGCGGGCCCGCTTCTTACAGCTTCAGCAAGCTACAGATGCAGCAAGAGCCGTGGTAATACGGATCCAACTAGAAAGCTATAATATCCTTAATCGGCTCGAGAGTTTGCGCCAACGTTGCTAAATAGTGACGATCGCTTGATATTAATAGCGAGAACAAATGCTAGATTAATAATAGAAGAGCTTGTTATTCCTATGTTTATATAGTAATGTTATTTTCACAAAATCTTATAAAATTAAATACGCATACATATATGGATGTGTGTATATATATATATACATACATGTTCCTGATATATGTATATTAATTCTTTTGAAAGTTAATTAATATTTTAAAGAATAATTTATTTTAAAGAAAAATTTTAGCTTGTTATAGCTAATTATTAAATGTCAAATTGTTCTTTATCCGATGAAAATCAAATTCAAATCGATCAATTTACATTTCGCTGCAATAAAAGATTTTGTGAAGCTTTTTGTGCGAGCTATTTCCTGACTGCAGCAAAGGCCGACAGCCTTTCAGAGACCTTTGACTAAAGCTGTGATCATAAAAACACTCGCATTCCCGTCACTTCCTAGGATATCTCTTATTAATGTCGTGGAATCGTTTTGTAGGACAAGCGTTTTCGCAACCCTTGAATAGCCGATCGAGAATCATGTTCACCAAAGAAGGTCCTGCGAAGGAGGACGATAGTTACATGGGTTACTCCGTCGCGACAGGAGATTTTGTTGGAAACGGAGATAGTGGTACCGCGGTTGGCGTCCCGCGCGGTTCCGATCTTCTGGGCAAGGTGTGTAGAAGAGTATTGTATTACAGGTTGAAATCTGAAGACAACATGACGTACAAAAAAGTATGACGATTAATATGAGGAAAGGAGAAAGAAAGGAAGAAAAAAATCGCAATATTAAAATGTTAAGAAAATTCATACTAAATGCAAGGATTTTGATAAACGCGAGGAATATTGCATGTAAGATAAATTCAGTCAAATGCAAATACTTACTCATAGTAACATTTAATGAATCTTTCTGACACTAAGAAATGAAAAGTGATACATTGTATATTTCCTACGTATTTAAATATTGAGTTGCAATAAGAACATATCGCATGAAATTTAAGTCGATAAGATCCACATTTTCAAAACCGAGATGAAATTTGCACGAGCAATATGTCTCATTATTGCAAACGTAGGCTGACGTGAAAATATGATCGTAGGTCTTACTTTTTACATCGAATATGACGAATCCTCGAAATCTTACTGGCGAACAAATGGGCGCTTATTTCGGTTACGCAGTAGCTGCCGGCGATATAGATGGGGATGGGTTGGATGACCTGATAGTCGGTGCACCCATGTATACAGTCCCAGATAATCCGGAAATGACCATCGAAACTGGAAGAATTTACGTTATCTATCAGGGTGATGGTGTGGAAAAGTTCCGCAAATTCGACACAAGGTAATGAAGCTTCACGAGTTTTAAAGAATAAGAGAGAATAGAGGGGATGTAATATATTATATATTATACATACTATATTTACAAATATATATATATTTAGAGAAAATTCGTCCGTAAAACGGATATCTCTGCTGGTCCCAAGTTCATTAACTCCGACCCGAAGGGTTAAATGAGCCCTGTGTCACGCAAGTTCGTTGAACCGCGGCGATAAAGCTTATCGTTATCCAGGGACGGCGAAAGCAACCGCGGACGTTTCGGTTTGTCGCTGGCCTCTCTGGGGGACATCGATCGTGACGGTTACGGTGACTTCGTCGTCGGCGCGCCCTATGCTGGTCCAAACGGTCGCGGTACCGTCTACATTTATCATGGTTCACGGACCGGAGTACTGGAAAAGTATTCCCAAGTAATCCACGCAGAGGACCTGGACAATCCGGTGCAGACCTTCGGATTCTCTGTAGCCGGTGGCCTTGACCTCGATGGCAATGTTTATCCAGACTTAGTAGTCGGTGCATACGAGTCGGGAGCAGCAATGTTTTTCAGGTTGTTATCAATTATCCTTATTCAAATTCTCTCGATGTCTTCTGGATGTAGAGAATGTTTTTAAATTGTACTAGTTTTGAAGTTAAACTTTGTACATTCTGCAGATCACGACCGGTAATCAAGATGGACTCGTATGTGTCCTTCGACTCCGAATCCAAGTTGATTTCCTTAGACAATAGGAACTGCACACTTTCAGACAACAACAGAGTCACGTGTTTTCCACTTAGAGCTTGCTTCAAGTATACAGGGGAGGGTGTTCTTGTGAGGCACAATTTCAACATACAGTATGTACTCGACGTAAAGAAGACAAAGAATCCGAGACTGTTCTTCTTAGAGTTGGAGAACAAAAACACGATGAATCACACAATCTCGGTAGAACGCGATCGCCAGTTCTGTCGCACAGTCCAGGTAGGTAGACAGTTGACTTCTGAAATATTCTATATTTCTTGTTTTAAAATTACAACTTTGGCGTCGTTTTTTAAAGGTCTACGTGATTCCTAATATTCGTGACAAACTAACGTCGTTGGATGCCGAGATGCGCATGAGTCTGGAGGAAGAACGGATTCCTGACAATCGCCATCGTGATCCTAGAATGCCATTGAGACCAGTTCTCGGCGCGACAACCTCCAGGAAGGATACTCTCTCTATCAGAAAGAATTGCGGATCCGATAACATTTGTATACCCGATTTACAACTCAAAGTGAGACCCAACGTTGGCAGATACTTGTTAGGATCTGGTAAAAGGCTTGAACTCGAAGTCTTAGTTGAAAACGCAGGCGAAGATGCATTCGAGGCAACATATAATCTGCAATTACCGGCCGGTATCGATTACATCAAAATCGAACGTATAGAAACCCTAGAAATTCCTGTTCACTGTTCTGCGCCCAAACAATCGAACAATAATACTTTACGTTGTGATATCGGAAATCCACTGCCGCAGAGAAAGCTGGTGAAATTTAAGGTGTTACTTCAGCCTGTGACGTCTCACGGCATGAAACCTATCTACGAGTTTAATATGCATGTTAATTCTACGAATCCTGAAGATCTCAATACTATCTATGATAACAAAGAGTACTTGTCACTGCCGATCTGGATAGAGACAGATTTACGCGTCGACGGTGAGAGCAAGCCCAAGGATCTGTATTATAACCCTGACAATTACACTGCCGCAAATATTACAACGGAGCTCGAATTGGGGCCAGCGGTGACGCATAATTATACCATTCGCAATCAAGGTCCATCGGATATCGTCGAAGCAGAAGCGTTCCTTGTATGGCCTGCGCAGACTTTATCTGGAAAGACACTGATGTATTTATTGGAGCAACCGGAGACTGCGGGTCCGATCGCTTGCGAATCTGCGAATGCAAATTATCTCAGTTTGAAGGTATGTATAAAATTAAAAATTATTTTTTTATATTTCATAATATATGTATATACAATAATGTAAATCATAATAATACATTATAGTTGGATCAGCGCAAAAGAGTGCACTTGAATTATCCTGATTACTCCGGCGTAATCTTAGATGAATCGCAGTCAGGCAGAACAATCAATGTTCAAAGAGGCTTTGAGATTGATCGTAACAAAGTGAATCAGAAGGAAGAAGCCGAGATTAGTAGTGGCGATAGTTCGAATATTCAGAAATCACGACACTCCTCCTCTTCTTCATCATCGTCTTCTTCCTCTTCTTCTAGTATTACCGAGACTAGGAGGATTCAGCTAAACCCAACGGGAGAAAAACCCGAAGTACTCACTACAACGTATACGCACAATTCTTCTGGAACTAACTCGATCGATAGCAGTAACTTATCTAATAATCGCGGCGGCGTTGTTTTTCACACGGAATCAAGCGGTAATTACGGTTCCACTACTTTAGGTGGAGGGTTCCGTGAATCTGAAGAAGGATCCTTTGGTTCGAGATTGCCCGATCTCGAACAGTCCTATGGAACACGTACGAACCAATCTGTTAGGGTAGAAAACCGTTGGAAAGAGAGCGATGAAGCGCCAGGACACACGATTTCACCTTCAGGAAGATACGATTCAATTATTACAGAAAGCGAAAGGAGATACCAGGAACTATTGAAACAGCAGGAGGACGCTCGTCTGCGTCAGGAGGAGGAGACTCGACAAAGGAAGCTTCAGGAAGAGCTTCGTCTGCGACAGGAGGAGGAGACTCGACAGAGGAAAGTTCAAGAGGAGCAAGAACGTAACTTTGCCCTACAACGTCATCGAGAAGAGTTAGAGCGACGTCAGCAGGCAGAGGAACGAAGAGAGGAATGGCGAAGAGAAGAAGAAGAACGACGAAGACAACAAGAGGAAAGACGCCTGCAGGAAGAGAGAGAACATAGCTATGACGCGGAAAGACGCTATGGAGCGACTACGGGTGGGCATCCATCTACGGAAGATGATTTCATCACTGGCGACCGCGAAGAGACAATCGGAAGTCGAGAATTTAATTTGCACAATGTCAGCTCCACGCAAGAATTGAACCGAATCTTTGGCACATTGTCGAAGGATGCAGCTGGTTATCAAGTATATAGTAGACAGGGACAACAGTATGTACAGTTCAAGGCAAGATTCAGAACATCTGCTGATAGGAAGGAGTATATAGAGTTCCAGGACGGTTCTATGTTTCCTCTTCAAGATCGTTATGGTAGTCAAAGTTACATCTCGGAATCCACAGAACCTCGTGACAGTCGATTCCTAAGAATAGAAGGTCAGCTATTTATTGCTCCGGATAGTAAAGGTTACATTGTGTTGAAAGATGGCCGAAGATTTCCTCTTCAGGGTTCTTTCACGCACACAGAGGAAAGAACGTACACTTTACATGGTTCGCATGATGACTATTTAGGTAGCAATGCTGATAATCAAGGTCAGGGAACTTACAGTCAATCTTGGCGTGAGGAATCATCCAGTGCAGCTTCGGATGGAGGTTACGAAAGCAGATATAATACTCGTACACATGAAGAGAAACGAACGGAAGAGAAAACGAGCAATACCAGAGTCTACGGAAGAAACCGTGATCGGTTTAACGATGAGTTTCCCACTGACAGACCCGATTTTCCAAGCTCGCGATATAGACGCGAGAGCGACATGATCGATATCGAGGAGTTCAAGAAATTCGAATGGCTTCACAGACATCGACGAGATCTCGACGAGACGGACGATCCGTCAGATGCAACTACGTTCCAAGATGATGATTATTACCAGGAAAACGATCCCGAATTACAGATACCAGTACGACCGTGCGATTCAGCAAAGTGCGTTATGTTGCGATGCGTATTAGGTCCATTGAAGAAAGATCAAGAAGTATGGATTAGTGCGAGGTATCGCGTGGATGCTAGGACTTTGAAGGAAGTAGCTCTTGAAGAGAAAGTGAAAGTGTCAACGAAGTTGGTGGCGCGTGCATTAGAAGCGATGAAGTTATGACGAATATCGAACCTAGCGCGTCGCCTTCTGCTCCGGATATGATTCCAATATGGGTGGTAGTTCTATCGGCCTGCGCGGGAATGATTATCCTCTTGCTACTCATTTATTTGCTTTATAAGGTAAGTCTAAAGACGAATGTAATGTAGAAAAGTTACAAATATATATTTTTCCCAAATGTTTTGCAATGAAAAAAACTACGAATGATTAAATATTATTAATAATATAAAAAAGTTGTTATTATGAAACGCTGATCAAAAGTTTCCTTAAACAAAACTATAAAAAATGAACTTGAGATTTTGCTCTAACGTCATTTTAAAATTACTATTTTGAAATCGCGCGCGCGCGAACTGAAAAATATTTTTATCTAAGTACTAAACTGTTCATTTTTTAGTAACTATACTTTATACTTTTATGCACAGAATAATGAGACGAATCAACTGATGTAAAGAAAATACAAAGTTTGCAAGTATGCATATTGCAAATTGTATTTTTTTAAAACAACTATATATGTTTTCTTTACATCAATCAATTCATTTCATTATTCCGTGCAAAAAAATATTAAGATACAATTGTCAAAAAATGAATAATTTATTAGATAAAGATATTTTTTAGTTCATTTAGATAAAAAAATAGCAACTTTCAAATGTCCATTTTTTATGGTTTTGCCTAAAAAAATTTTTGATCAGAATAATCTGCAAAATGTCACAGTTTCAGTCAATTCAACTGAAACCACTTTTTCATGTGATTAATGCGGAATCCCTTGTTTGGTTCATTATATAGATTGATTCATGTCTTTGATATTGATAATGATTGAGATCAAGATGGATTAATGATAATCAACTTTATTTATCATTTAGTGTGGTTTCTTCAAGAGGAACAGACCTTCCGACGCTCCAGAGAGACAACCGCTAAATCGAAACGGCCACTTCCAACAAGGCGAGGATCATTAAAGGAAGATTACCATTCTATTAAAAGTTTCGATTTTCTGGCTATACTAAATTGAATCGTAAACGAGTTAAAATTTTGACTGCGTAGTAGAACCATGAAAAACGCTTTAGTTCGAATAATCGAGGGAACACGCGTTGCATGGATTTTTGCTTGGTATTGTCTGCGAACATAGTTTCGACTTTTACCGAATATCTTGTTAGCGTTCAACAGTGCCTTAATCCGCGTCTAGGTAAGACGAGATTTGTCAAGGTACACAGAAACGTTGGTTTTGGATGAGTGACGATTGATTCGTCACTCGTATACTGCCGTCGAATACTCCTTCCAGCTCCTGCAGCTCGACCACGCAAGTTTCTAGTCAGGAGACGTTCTTCTTTTTTTTTTTATTATTATTACTTGTAATTACTTAAGCTGCGCGTACAGTCAGCAGATACGAACGAATATTTCGACATTCTTCGATGAATCGTATCTTTGTGTATATAAGTAATATATGTATAATGTTATTTTTTATACCGTTATTCGCGGTAAAATGCCTTGATCGTGCCTCGTCGCTTCCGCTGTCTTTTTACAATAGAGTACAAGTAATTATTTTTTTATCCGCGTTTAGTTGGCACGAACTTTAAAAACGATTTCATATCTCACCGGTGATTAGAATTTAGCGGAATGTATTCAGTACTGAAAGCATCATCGATAACATCATCTCTTCTTCAAGGCCCCTTTCACACGAGTAGTTATATAGCCGAATATTGTGTCTTACATTTTATTGAACATGTCGTAAAAAATTCTTCAATCTTATACATGTTTTTTGCAATTTCATACTTTTAGATAATGTTTTATTAGCAATATATCGAATTTAGACTATGTGAAAGGGGTCTAATCTTCCTGAAGAGCGATTTTTAAGTCGCGTGGGACTTTATAATTATTTATTAAATTTTTATATTATATACATAATACTGTAACGTATGCTTGAGCGCTGTAACAATAGCGTGATGTATCGTCACGCGTGCAAGGTGAATGTGTGTGTACAATCTGTAAATTATTAATTTACGTTACTAAAATTGTCCACGAAAAGTGGTTTAACGCAATAATGTTTTAATTAGAAAGGATTTATATCTTTCTAGTGTAATAGAAAGCTAGAACTGATTTGTACATATAACGTTAAGGTATAATATTAAAAAAAAAAAAAATATATATATATATATATATATATACATATAATGAAATTAACTATTTTGCGCATACTGCTAATTTCTCCCCTAATAAGTCTGTGGCGATCGTGACAAAGAGACTCTGAATAGGTTCTTTGGCACGAAGAATAGACACGTATGACTCTCTTTGTCAAGATGACCACAGTATAGTGGTCAGTCTCAGTGTTGTTATTTATTATATATGATAAAAATAACGAGAGAAAGGAAAATATTGTAGCATAGAATTGCATCAAATTATGATCGGCGAGCAACGCATGTTCGTCTTACAATTAGTTCAAAGTGTCTCTTATCGGAAACATAGTGACCTTTTATGTAATATATTAATTCACAAATTCAATTTTTTTATCGCTAGAAAAATCAGATTTTTATTCAGTCACTACCTCTCGATAATAGCAAATCACCGAGAGTATTTTTATCATGCCACTCGAAATTAGTTAAAACTGTACCATATATTTGTAGATACATATTTGAAAAGTCACTACATTTTTGATAAGAGATACTTTAAACTAATTGGAAGACGAAACGCATGCACGTTGCCTGTTGATCGTTCGTGATAATTTAGTGCAATTCGTATCAATGCTACAATATTTTCTTTTTTTTCGTTAATCTCATCGTCACATAGATAACAGCATAATAGACAACAGCACCGAGACCATACTGTATTTTTTTAATATTACAAGAGATCTCTGTATTTGTACTTTTCATAATACTTTTCACAAATAAGCTTCGTCTTCTGTATTCGACTAATTTTCAAAAAGAAAAATTACATTGGATGAATTTGTACAATCATTTATTGTAAAATTACAATGACGTAACAGTGTTAGCATAAAACATATATTTGTTTAACGGTCAATGTATATACTGTGACTGTGCTATTTACTGATCGCATTGATCGTTGAAATCAATTATAAGTTATACCGTAAAAATTATAAGAAAATTCTTTCGGATATAAAAAAATATATTCATTAATCTCGAGTTTTTTTTTAAATATTTTGGACAGTATCCTTCATATTCTTTTATTGGTAAAATGTATATAAAAATAATTTATAATGCACACAGTTGTGTCAGTTTGTAAAATATATTACCATTTTCGTGAATAGATTCCGCATTTTAAGAACCTTCCATGCAAATAGATTAGTATGACAATCAGTTTAAAAAACGACATTGAATAACAGTTATCATGACTGCAAATGTGACTTGTATTTGCGCAAATGTGAAGGCGACTGTGTGTGATCGAGGAAACTAAAATCCATGAAATATTTATAAAAAAAATTCGCATCTGAAATTCGGCTTTGCAAAATCGTACAAAAGTTGCTGCACTAAAAAAATACGTTGTATAAAAGAAAACTGTGAGCTATTATATACTTAAAAGTACATAATTCAATTATTGCTATTATGCTATAACTATTTACGTCTATATTTGACAATTGTTTGATGGATCGAGACGGAATACGTTCACTTTGGGATACAAATGGATATGAATGGAATTAGACTGGCAAGGAGATAGCACGGAATCAAATGAGAAATTATCGTTCATTCAAAAGGAGGATTAAATGTACTAATAATATCAAAACAGCAGATAATATTTTTAAAACGTTTTTTAAATGTTTATTTAACATAAAAATATTTAATAAATATTTAAAAATATTTTTTTAATATTGTGCTGATTAAGAATGTAAAGAAATTAGAAAATGAGTCTTAGTTTCTGAGAATTGCAATTAAAATTGGGATCTGCTATGTTAAGTATTAGAAACTTAGTATTAGAATTTGCTGCATAAACAGGAAAGCTGACAGCGCTGAAGCGCACATATTATGTTTTTTCGTCCATGACCATCGCGACCGACGAAGTGTGAATTTACCAAGAGTACTAACTTTTTAAAAATATATTTAGATAATATATATTTTACAATTATATTTTACAATTTAATAAATTTTTGTTAGTCTTTTAAGTAGACATCACACACATTCATATGTGTGTATGTGTATATATATTTGTAATTTCAGCCACACTGCTTTCTTGTTTGCCAATCTAAGATTCTACTTAGCTATAGCTAATCGAATTCCCAACTTCAATTGCAATTTTCTCAGAAATTTTTTTTCATCTTAATTTCTTTACATTTTGATACACTCAATCCGCCCTTTCGAATAAATTATAATTATTTATAAATTATAATTATTTACTATCATTTCAATTTATATTTCACATTTCGATCGTACCATCTCCTTGTGAATATTATATTCGGGCAGTGCGAGATCGTTACTGCTCCTCAAAACGCCAATATGTCAGACAGTATATACAAATTCGTATTATGCTTAATTCTATTTAAAATCATGATCAACAATTTTCTCATTCAATTCTTTCAACGGGCTATTCACGATCAATTAGCTCTACCAGTGTTAAAAAATATGTTGATTTGACATATTACCATTGAATAAAATGTATATGTATACATTTTTTACATATAGATGCAACAATGATCTAATACATGCAACAATGAGCGAAATTAACGCCTAAATGAATATTAATGTTTTCCAATCTGTAATTCTTTTAACTTCATGATGTTGCGAAATAAAATCTCGAAAAATTCCATCTAATAATATTACATGTGCGTTGAATAAATCTGTTTTGTGTGAATGATAAATAGACAAATCCATCTTTAACATTGGATTATACGATATTGCGATGAACGCGAATAACGCTTACTGAATATCTTTTGAACAATGATAATGAATATCCGTATCGTCTAATCGTCATTATCGCTATTGATTTCAATATCTATATCATTGTATATATCCTCATATCAGCTATCGGGAACCTAAAATTAAATAATGTTTAAAGAAATAAATTTAACGAAAATTTAACTTATAAGCCGGTATTCATAGTTCTTATATTCAAGACCGTTTTAAGTTCTGTCTTGAGATATCATCACGAATCAATCAGAGAGCCGTCATTAGCGTCTTAAGACAGCCTTGAAATACGAAATATGAATATCGACCATAGACATGACATTTAGTAATGTAAAATGTAAGAATTTTTATTCTTACTTTCCATTGTAATTGGCTGCCCACTTCGTAAAGTTCTTTCAATGTTTCTGTCAATGTGCCAGAACTTTCTAGTTCTTTGTACTTGCGATACAATTCTAAAGCTGCTCGCGCATCTTCGGTTGAATCGTGAGTTTCAGACTGAATGTTTTTACCCAAAAAATGCCAAGTCAAGAAACGTAACGATACCATACGATGATGAGGTAAGTGAAACAACAAAACTGTATCTACTATTTGATCCGGCGGGACTACCAAATTTATTACCCTGCAAAGTTCACACATTAAAAAAAAATATTACCAGCCACCATCGTAGATATCAAGTAGTATTTTACCTAAAATCGTTTTTCAAGCCGTGCCCGACAAAAATTATACCATTGTCTACTAAGAACCTCAACTTTTGATACGTCGATTTCAGAGTTGTAAGATGTTTGCTACTAAAATTCGCATCTAAATCACCCGGTTGGATTCCACTGAATTTTGTTAGATAGTCGACTACCTGTTCCTGAGTGCTTATATAATCGTCTATAAACGGTGTACCTTCCAAAGGACCTTGTCTACTAATTAAAAATAAGAAAATATTATATATAGATTTAAAATAACTCGAATATTGTCATATTAAGCGCATTTTTTATCTAATCAGATTAAAATTTCTCATTTATGAAGCATTATTGTTTACATAACAGCTCATAAAACATACCCGCGTATACAGGTGATTCGTGCGACCGACATATGGCTCGGTTTTATAGTTGACATCTTTCCATCGCTTCGTAGCTCAGATTCTTCCTGATTTAAGGTAACGAATTCTGCATCGATGCCTACTAACTCTCCTGCAATTACAATAATTTAAGCACACTAAAAAGGATACAGGCCACATTAAAAGTATACAATAATTTTCTTTCTTCCTTTCTATTTCATATAAAGAGCGAAAATACAAAGAGATTATTACAACAGAGGAATCTACCTTTCTTAGGCATTTCATCTGATGCTAGAGGAGTAAATGTAATTCCTCTAGTTCCACCACTGCGAGCAATACATTTATCTTCTCCAAAAACATCATACGTAAGAGGACTGACGAATTGTGTTGGTTCAGGAGCAGGTATCGCTGTATAATGAAGTACACATGGCACTTTCCAATCGAGATTAAACCATACCGCTTCCTGAGGAGTCACTGGTTGTATACTGTAACAAGTATTACGTCGATAATAAATGATGTTAAAGTATGGACAACTTTCTTTTCCTAAACGGAAAAAACTTACCAGAAATCATTAAAAATGTACCATTGTGATACGGCATTGCCTGCCGATCGTTCATGATAATTTGGTCCAACTCGTAACAGTGCTACAATATTTCTTCGTTCCTCGTTATTTTTATCGTCAATATAACAAACGACAGCACTGAGACCATACTGTATCTTTTGAGTATTATAAGAGATCTCCAGATTTGTACTTTTCACAACTTCGTCATCTTCTGTCACACTGCAATTTCCAATCTTCGATGCTAAACAATTTTCAATATTTTCCTCACTGTTATTCCCAGAATTCTCAGAAATAACTTGTACTGTTCTGTCATCTTGACCGTTCTCCATCATGCTTGTCTGTATGAACATATCATTCAATTCGTTTCTTGGTTCGCTGATTTTTTTAACTGCCATCTCTCCGTTTTCTTCAATGGAGATTTCTATGTTGTGGGGTATCCATGAATGCAAGTAATAAAAATGACTAGGAGGCGATGTAACGGGCGCTGTCGATGAGGTAGATGGTGTGGAAGACGACGTTAATAATTTTTCTGTTTCTGCACAGTAAAATATGGTTAGCGTTAATTCAAAGCGACATGTTTAATCTCTATATTAAAGTATTTATATACCTGAGTCGCGTCCAACGTGCCTGAATCGACATCCAGTTCGCGTGCAATTGTTGCCATATCGACAGGGCTTCGCAGTAACAGGCACAGGACTCGAGTTAGGACTGCTCTCTTTTCCCGTCAACACGTTTTGTACCACGATGTCCATTTGATTTTGCCAAAACGCTTTGTCCTGTAATAATTCGTTCTCATAAAATGAATGAAGCGTAATATGCGATTTTCATTCTTTGATTCTGTGCACGCTACAATTGTACATCTAATCTGATGTTGTAAGTACCTGCTGAGTATCTAAGCCACAATTTAGAGCCAGTATTTGAGGTAGTTTAGTCAATTGTCGAGACTGGAGAGTAGGTGTAAATTTCTGACAATTGTCACACCATGCGGGTGTAATTTTCTCAGGTCTTAAACTGCGGGCAAGAACATTTGTGAACGGTACCTCTTCAGCTACAAAAGGTAAATCTTGTGTTCAACCGCGAGTATGAATGTATGGATGTGCACATTAAGCTAAGGTTGCACAAAAAATCAAATGAGCGTGTAGAATATTGAAAATTATATCACAATCTTTATGGAATTTTGAAATAATGGATATTTGAAAAAATGTAAAAATTTATCTGTAAATATGTATCACATTATTAGACTACATTTACACTTTATCTTATATTTATTTGCTTTAAAATATTCGAATGATTAAATATATACAGTCAAAGTTTTCAATTTACACGCTAAACTCAGACTTTCTGTCCAGCCAAAGCATTGGACACATATTGCTTGACAATAGCTTACAAGGATTAATTATTTCCGGATAAACTAAGTTACAAAGTAACATGATAGAATGTTTTGTAGCTTCTTGCCCACATTTGAGACAGCGATG